GAGTGGGTAAGTAAGTGGGTGGATGAGTGGGTGAGTAAGGTGGTGGATGAGTGGGTGGATGGGTGAGTGGGTAAGTGAGTAAACTTATGGGTGGGTGCATAGTTGAGTGAGGAATGGGTGATGGGTCGGTAAGTGGATGGATGAGTGAGTGGGTGAGTAAATGGACTGATGGGTGGGTGAGAAAGTGGGTGGATGAGTGAGTGGGTGGATGAATGGGTGACTGGTAGGTGAGTTGATGGGTGAGTGGGTGGGTGAGTAGGTGTGTATGGTTGGGTTAAGGTTGGACGTGGGAATTGGTAAACGAGTGGGTTTGTGGGTGAGTGAGTGGATGCAAGAGAGAGGAAAGAGAGGATGGAGGAATAAATGGGCTGGCGAGTGATTGGGAGCATCGATGGCTGGTGAAGGAATGCTTGAGTGTCCCGGAGGGGGGGGGGTGTTGTTGAGACAACTGGAAGCAATGACATGAGTTAACATGGATTGCTATTTCACCAGGACTAAACGACGTTGACTTTTATTCCAAGAGTTCGGGTAAAGGCGCCTAGAACATAACACGTCTCGACAAACAGAAAACCACACGCGTGTTCCCTTACACACACACACACACACACACACACACACACACACACACACACACACACACTCAAACACACACACAATCATACAAATACACACACAAACATACACCCCCCTCCCACACACAAACGAGTGCTCATGCACACACACACACACACATATACGCACACACACACACACACACACACGCACACACACACACATACACGTACAAACACCCACATACACACTCGCCCGCAAAAGCACACACATATAATAATATATCAACACCTACACCCATACCCATCCACTCACATATACACGCAGACATACACACACACGCGCACACACACATGCACACTCAAACAAACACCCACATATACACTGGCGCACATACACATATACATGCTCACCACACACGCAAACAGGCATACGCACAAACACACCCATCCGCCCTCTCATACGCATAAACATAGACACATACACGCACATACACATACACACACAAACAGAAACACACATACACGTACATACGGGAACAAACACGAACGTCCAGTAGGTATACCTGACGAGGTAGATTACTTTCAAGTTGGGGTTTTCCTCAATCATATTCAACGTCCACGGGAGAGGGATACGAATAGTCTTTACCAAAGTCACGTGACTCTTCTGACAAGGTATACGGAGCATCTCAAAGCAGACTCTCTCGTCTGCTCCCTGTGTCTCCTGAAGCGGATTAGAAAGGACGGTTGGGGTGTGGGGGGGGGGGTGATGTTAAGTTTAAGCAAGAGTTTTACGGCACTTGCAGCACAAATATATCATCCTATGAGTGCTGAAGATTTGAAGCCTTACACACTAAAAAAAGAAGTAGGAGAGATAAGGGGCGATAGTTTAAAAAAAAAGGAAACAAGAAGCAAACTACACCAGAGCACATGCTAACCACCCACTGGGATAGGTAATTTGAGTTTTGGCCTCAGTCTTTCGTGGCAGGGAAATTTATGATTAAGTATACAAAACGAGATGACATGATTTCGGGTGATACAATATGTTGTGGAATAATACGGTATGCGCTGGTACTTATTGACAAGGCATAAATAAGACATAGTGTGCATATCTACTGAGGTATAGGATGGGATGGGAAGAGAGAGAGAGGGGGAGAGAGAGAGAGAGAGAGAGA